ATATATATATATATTTAAAACAGTGAAGTCCATTATTTTAGCCACATGTAGCCTAAATAAGCTCACCCTAAAAAATGCTTACTAAACATGACATTAGGACATAATTAAGTCATTGTGTGTGCGTATATGCGTGTGTATATGTTTGTGTTTGTGTGTGTTTGTGCTTGTGTGTGCGTGCGTGTGTGTTTGTGTGTGTTTGTGCATGTGTGTGTGTGTTTGTGTGTGTTTGTGAATGTGGGTGTGTGTTTGAGTGTGTTTGTGCATGTGTGTGCGTTTGTGTGTGTATGTGCATGTGTGTGTGTGTGTGTTTGTGTGTGTGTGTGTTTGTGTGTGTTTGTGCATGTGTGTGTGTGTTTGTGTATGTTTGTGCATGTGTGTGTATGTTTGTGTGTGTTTGTGCATTTGTGTTTGTGTTTGTGTGTGTTTGTGCATGAGTGTGTGTATGTTTGTGTGTGTTTGTGCATGTGTGTGTGTGTTTGTGTGTGGGTTTGTGTGTGTGTGTGTGTGTGTGTGTGTGTGTGTGTGTGTGTGTGTGTGTGTCTTTTTGTGTGTATGACATAATGAGGTCATAATCAATGTCAAAAATAAAAAGAACCTAGTTTCCAAAATCCAGGTCACTTCTGCACCAAAAAGGGGATTTTTAGAACATTTACAAAAAGAAGACTCCATTAAAAAAATAAAAAATAAAATAAAACAAATAAAACAAAGACATCACCCCCCTCCTCCCACAAAAAACTCACCAACCCCCCCCCCAAAAAAAAACAAAAAACAACAAACAAACAACCCCACCAACAAACAAACAAACAATCAAAACACAAAAACGAAACAAAATGATTTAAAGATAGCATAATATTTAATTAAAAGAAACTGAAAGTATAAAATGATTGCATTATGTATACATAGCTTTTCATGGGCACAATATTGCAGACAGAATAATATATCAGTTGCATATATACATTGTCATATATATATATTGAATTGCTTTATTTCCTTCTTGGCATAAAGAAGAATAAAGATGAAGAGGAAGTTTTCATAAATTATTTACATAACAAAACAAAGACAAGCAAGTTTTGCCTTTGTTGGTGAATCTGTCAAGACCATCACAGCCGTTGATGAGATTATGAGCAATACATATATTATATTTATATATATACAATGAAGTCAATGTGTTCACATAGAGTTATTGGTATCATCTTGAAGCTTGTTCACTTGTTTTTATGTGGATGAAAAAAATAACCGTTTATCTTAAATACAAGTCGAGATATTTGAGAATGAAAGAGGTGGGGGTCACCTGTTTTCAGAGGTAAAATTAGTGAGAAAATGTCTGAAAAAGATTAGTTATTTCCTTAGCTTAAGAGTCCGTGGTAACTGAAAATGTGTATCTTTTGAGCCTTTAATCAACGTTTTTCATTAAAATCCACACAGAAATCAGTTTTTTAATGGCCATAAAAGGTGTTGAGCCCCCCCCCCTCCCCCACCCCAAAAAAAAAAATTGATAAAAATTCACTGACCTGACCATCAATGATTTATTTATAGAGGCACCAGCCATAAAAATTCACAAACCTGCAGAAAAATGCAAGTTTCTTCACTTTGATTATTTTGAGGAGAGCCTGATTCCACCACGCTGCCTCACACAATGTCATACATATATACACATAGAAAAGTATCAGAACCAGATGGCAATGATTATAAAGTATGTACAAGATACACAGAAACCAGAAAAGATAAGAAATGACAAGATAAGATAAAATAAAACAGAAAAGATAGATAAGAAAGGATAAGAGAAGAGAAGACAATGTAACAAGGTAAGACCAGATAAGATAAGATAAGATAAGGTAAGACAAGATAAGATAAGGTAAGACAAGATAAGATAAGGTAAGACCAGATAAGATAAGATAAGGTAAGACAAGATAAGATAAGTTAAGGTAAGACAAGATAAGATAAGATAAGATAAGGTAAGACAAGATAAGATAATATGATAGTAAGAAAAGAGAAGAAAAGACAAGATGAGAGTAGAAGATAAGAAAATACCAGAAGATACAATAAGATGTTGTTATCGACTACGAAATTGTTGATCGTAAGTTAGCCTAGGTCTAGAACTATTTGTGCACGAAACAAAGCATTTTGGAAAAATCAGGGAAAGCAGTTTGCGTGGATTTTTACAAGTTAGGTCCTAGCCACATGTATGCTGGGGGGAACTCCTGCAAAGTTTCAAAGTTGTGGGTTAGGTAATAAAGGAGGAGTTTGTGCACAAAGCCTCCCAAGTCCACTTTTATATATATATAATAA